TAAAAGGAAAAGGAAGGGAGGGAGCAGAAAGGAGGGCAGAGCAGGGGAAGTGGAGAACTCAGGTATTACAGGTCCTGCATCAAGAAATCACACAGCCAAACAAATCAAATATAACAAAGATTGGATAACTGAGGAAAGTTCTAGAAGGATAGTACAACTGCTTTATACTGATGTTCCAGCATTGTTTAAAACGTGTAACAGTAACACACCGGTGTTATTTTACAATTTTATAATCATATATTATTTTTTTAAATCCTCTAGGTTAATCAGCCTGTACTCTAAGGAAGGAAAGGAGATGCAGGCCCTTCCAGGGTGCCCAAGGGCACCAAATGGATGGCAGCAGCTTAGCACGGATTACTGAACTAGGATATTCTGACTCCCCAGCATCCTGAGGCACCCATGGAAGATTTTGTGGAAAGGCACTTCTGCCAGTGGGGAGCAGGAGCAACGGGGAAGTAGGGCTGGAGAAGCCTCAGCCCTTCAGAGGACCACAGAAGGAAGGGTCACCCTCAGGTAGTGGTCAGGTGTCTCAGAGTCAGGAAGGCCAAGACCCAGGCCCCAAAAAGGAGGTGAAAGCCAAAGAAGGAAGACAACACCCAGGCAATTCTCCAGGTTCCTGTAGGATCGGGAGGGAGGTGGGTGTCTGAGGGACACATCCACCAGCGTGGTTCAATCGAAGCTGCAGAAAAGCTGTCCAGCTCCAGCATGCATTCTATAGCACACAAAACCCTAGCTGCATCTCCTGGGACTGATGTACGGAAACAGCATCCCTGCCACCTCTACCTGCTTTGTGGTGGGTGGAAGAGGCAAGTAGGTCCCTGAGCAGGAAATGCACCGGTTGCTGTATTCCCAGGGTCATCTGCTAATGGCCCACTTGAAGCTAAGAATGTGACACAGAGCTCGGAACCCTGTAACTCTCACCAATGTGCTCAGATCCCGCTAGATCTAGGAATTCAGGAGAGAAGGCAGGAGAGAAACACATTCCTAAAAATTCCAGAGGTTTTTTGTTTTTTTTTTTTTCTTTTCCCTCAATTTGATAACAGGAAGAAGCCGCAGCAGACTGGGGTGATCTGTAAACCCTTCTAAAATGAAAACTTTTCGGGCCTCCCAGTTGGCGCAGCGGTTGAGCGCTGGGTTGCGAAGCTGCCCGCAGCCTCTGCAGTGCTGGTTCGATCCCCGGCTGCTCCCCGGCCACCAGAGGAGGGTCCCACATGGCGCGCAGACCTCTCCTGCAGCCCGCTGCTCCCCTCAGCAGTGTACTTCGGTCCTTCTGCCTGCTCTGCTCCCCGCTCTGGCTCTGGTGAATTCTCTCACCCTCCCGCGCTTCTGACTGTACCCAGTGCTTGAATAAATAAATAAAATAAAAATAAATCTTAAAAAAAATAAAATAAAATGAAAACTTTTCATCTTCCAAAGGAAGCCATTCCCGAAAGTTCACTGCTGGGGGAAGAGCACAGTAATGGAGAATCACCGTGTTAAAAGCATCCATTTGCAAACCTGTCTTAATGGTTAGACCAAATACTTGACCCAAAGGGCATGCGTCAGTCTGTCTTCTCTAAGCCAGGCCTGTGAGCTTCAGAGATCTTGAAAGCTGCTCATTCCAAGGGCAGAGAACCACACATTAAGAGACCAGGGCTTGGCTGGAGGGCATGGCCAGGACAGGGATTCAATATAACCCTCTTTTGCTGAGAGTTAAGTGTTCCCAGAGTAGCAGCTCCAGCTTCTCTGTTCAGGAGGGGCTTGAAAGGAGGATGGAGTTAAGAAAGGGCCAGTGGCCTGGCACTGATGCTGTACTAAGATCTTAGGTTCACATGAGGAGATTCTTAAAGGAGCTGGTGAAGCTCGTGGGAGGGCTAAGCACCCCTAAATCTGGAATACTGCTGGAAAATATTTGTTCAGCTGATTCCTATGGAAGAACTAACAGGTCCTGCATGGTGTCATTGGTCAAAGACAATCAACCTCCCTCTATACCCAGGCAGTCATGCAGGTAAATGCCTCCTGGTTGCACCTGTCCAGGGTGGGACCATCACACAGGCTACTTGGATGTATGAATTCTGCCCTGACCACTCACAGCCACCAAGAGATGAAGAGTCAGCATTCTAGAATCAAGTTTCTTTGTTCCTGCAATGCGTAAGAATGACTAGATTGCTCACATTTGGAGGCTGTGTTGGTAACACCTGACTGAAAATGTCACCAGGTGGAATATAAAAATGCCACTGGTGATGAGCAAGAGGATATTCAAAGAATCAGGTCATCTCTTGTCCTAGGTGGCTGCAGCTGGCCTGGCAGGCCACATCTCCTCTGCACCACAGACAGAGCCAACTAAACCCTACGGCACCTCACCCGAGCGCACTAGGGCACCAGGGCAGGGCTACATCTCACGTGGATGACTCTATAGGACAAACTCCAGGCTGAGCACCGGCAGGGATTTCTTTATTTTGTGGTAGGGATTTTCACAAGTGAAAACGAGAGTCTAGCAATGTCAACACTCTCACCATCAGGAGCAGCAACTATTTTTGATGTCCAGAAGCTTTTTATATACTTTATCTCTACTGTCATCCTGTAATGTTATTCCATTGTAGAAGGCAAGAAAACTGAAGCTCAGAGAGTTAGTGATTTACCACCTAAAATGGCCTGAAGCCAGAGTTCAAACCCCAAACTACAAAGTTCTCGTTCTTTCTGTTAGGGTCTTAGCAAAGGCAGGTGGTCTTTCATCTACCATTGAGGCCCTTCAGCAAGACCTGGGGTGCACCTGGGTCACCCACCATCAAAGTTGATTGTGTGTGGATGCTGGGGTGGTGTGGGCCCTTGGCATCAGAAACGGAGCACTGGAGGGCCCTAGGGAGCATCTCCACTACTCCACTCTGAAATTGGCAATGGAGGCCTCTGGGACCACAGCAGAAGACAGATCAAGTGGAAAAGGACAGAGCGTCCTACTCAATCTGGTTCAGAGCCCTTTTGGACAAATCCAGGGCCACTTATTTGGGTTGCTCTGTCCAGTTACCTACCAAGGGGTCACCCCACATCCTGTCCTAATCCATCAGCCCTTGATGCCCAGGAGCTGGCCCTCTTCCATGTACGGTCTCTCCTAGGAATGAGACCACCAACTCCACTTTGGTATCAACCTCTTGTAAGGTCTAAGGGAAGGTATCTTAACCCCCCTGGTGCCACTATACCATACAGCCATTGCAGGCCAACATGTACCCCAGGCAGTGTTGCACCCCATCTCTCCTAACATCCGGTGTCTATCTGTCTCTCTGCCATCTGTGCTGAGGTTGGTCTGAGGCATTCGGGGCATGCTCTCGGCAAGTTTGCCAAGCTGAGTTCTATTCTGAAACAGGGCTGGTTGGCTCTAAGACGGGCATGCAGGTACTAAAATGAACAGTTAGTTTAGTTGGCTTCTATATTACACTGGGTTTACAAATTAGCAAATTCAGTCTGGCATCCAGTTAAGGAATTATCACACAGGATGAGCTCGGTCACATCCTTCCTTCTAAGTGATATCGGGCCCTTATATGGAATAGACTTTTGATAATGAGCAGACTCATGGATATTCTTAGCTGGACACCAAGCTAAGAAAAAAAATAACACTGTCCAACATTTGTAAGTGCCTATAGGTTTATTTCCTCTCCTATTTATTTATTCATGACTCTTCAATGAGGCACCACCTGCTTTTTTCATCACCCAAACCTGAGCACAAACACAGCAAATGACTTAACAGAGATGCATATTTTCACACTAAAAATGTTTCAGTTCTAGGAATACTTTTGAAAAACTTATGTTTTTCCTGGCAAAGCCCTCCAAGTTTAAAATCCAATGGAGACTTTTCATTTAAATTTCTCTTAAGTTCTGAGAATAAGGCAATGCTGGCAGCACATTTCTGTCCTCAGCTTCTCTCACAGGAAAATGCAATGCTATATTAATAAACGCCTCGGCACATTCAAGTCTGAATACCAGGTTTAAACCTCATCCTTCACTAGAATCCTCAGAACTTCCTCAGAAAAACTCTCCAAGCCCTGATCCTCCTCCCTGCAGCCTCAGCGCCTTAAGAGAGTGCAAGGTTTATTTTTATACTTCTTACTCCTTTTGACTTGGCCTCTCCCGGCAAAGTTGAGTTTAAAAAGCCACTCAGCCACCGGGAAAGACCAAGTTTCTGAGCAGCACAGAACACTCAGGTCTTTATGACTTAGTGCCGGTCATCCCTGACTTTTTTCTTGTATTCTCAGTGTTTCTTCCTTCACCCCTACTGCTCTTCTAAAAGTCTGGGCGCAGTGTCTAGGTCTGAGACCTAAACATTCCCTTATATGTAAGAAAGATTTACTGGAGCTCATATAAGCTTCTTTTCCCTCGGTTTTTGGGTGGAAAAAACAGGGTCACCAAGCTCACCCCCAAAACAAAGCTGCACTTGGTACTTACTGGGGGAAACAGCTTAGGGCTTTGGATTTAGCCTCCTAATTTTGAAGGCACTTCTTCTTTCTTGTTACCTAGCCTTGGCAACTTTACTTAACCCCATACAGCGCATCACCAGTATTAACATAATTGGCCCAGATCCTTTCCTGCAGGCATGGAGAGGGTACTATTATCCTCGTTTTACCCTGGGAAAAGTGAGGCTAAGGGACCCTCAGAGGCCATAAAGCTAAGCGGCAGAGCTGGATTAGCACCCAGGCGTGTCTGACTTAAAATTCCTGGCTGGCCCCACTCTGGTCTGCCTCCCTTAAGAGCAGCTGCCCTCAGCAAGGGACACGCTCAGTACCTGGTGCGCTCCGGAGGGGCAGTTCCAGTTGGAGAACCCTGAAGACCTTCCATCAGCTATTCTTAACAAAATTTCCTCAGGGATCCCCATCCTACCTTGTGGGATAACTCTCCCACTCGCATCCCTGCGCCTCATCCTTTCCAGCTCCCACCCCCGAGGCGGGCTGGGGTGGCCGCACACCAGCAGGTGCCCGCCCGGCCGGGGGCGCTTCGGAGCGCAGAGAAGGGGCACAGGGTCCCGCACCTACCTCGTCCCCGAAGCGCACCAGCTTCTGGCCCGTGGGCCCGCGCAGGCCCGGGAAGCGCGCTAGGTCGTCGGGGTCCCCGGGGTCCCCGGGGTCGCGGGGAGTTGGGGTTCTCGGCCCCACCAGGCACCGGTCAATGATCTCGTCCTGCTGCGCGGGCGGCAGCCGCGCCCACTCGGGCCCGTACTTCTCGCGGATCTTCTCCTTGTCCTGCATGATCTTCCTGGCCATGGGGCTCAGCGACGAGAAGTAGGTGAAGCGCTTCCGCTCCCTGTCGTCCAGGGGCCGGTTCCCGCTCATGACCGCCGAGCGCGAGGCCGCGATCGCCGCCGCCATGGACGCCATACCCGGCCAGCCGCTCCCCCCGCCGCTCCGCGCCGCCTCGCCCGAGCCCCGCCCCCGAGCCCCACCTTCCCAGCCCCCCCACCCCGAGCGCGGCGCCTTCCGCCTCTGGGAACCCCGCCTCCCGAGCGCCGCTCCCCGCGACTGCCCTGCCCTCCACGCGCCCCAACTCCGGGAACCCCGCCTCCCGAGCCTGCCCAACCACTGGGGACCTCGCTCTCCTCGCCCCCACCCCGAGGGACCCCGCCCTTCAGGCACCCCAACGCCTTTCGCACCCCCCCACTCTCGGGGGCGCGCCCCCGCCCCCGGGCACCCCGCCTCTCGATCCGCCCAACCCGGGGAGCCCCGCCCCGGGCGCCTCTCGGCTTGCTCCCCCTGCACCCCAGAGTCCACCCGATATGCCTGGGGGTTTCCAGCTGTGCCTCCACTTTGCGGGTCACTCCTTGGCCAGCTCGGGAGGGGCTTGGCGCGCGCCCCTGTCGGCACCCGGCGGTCTGGAGGGATTGCGGGTGTGCACCGCCATAGCGCCACGTGGTCACTTGTTTGACAAAGGAAACTTTTTTTCTCCCTCTAGTGGGCCAGGGAGAGCTCTGGCGTTCGGGCTCTGGCGCCCGCCACGTTCGTCCTTTTCCCCGATGGGCCATCCTCGCGTCCCTTGACCGGATCCCGAACAATGGGCCAGGGTCCTGCAGGAGGGGCTTGTGCAGCAGGGGTGGGCCCGGCAGAGTAGAGGCTGGAGGGATGGCCCGGGGGAGACCTGTGCTTGGTGTTGCCGGGCACTTGAAGTGGTTTTTCCCAAACTGACCACCTGGCATTGCTTTTTCTAATGCCGTAAGTGAAATGACAAGATTTGTTTGGGAATCTCAGAAAGTCACCAGAGTTCTCAGCAGCTGAATTTTGGCAAAGTTGCTGAAGAGGGAGGAGAGGTTTTCATAGGTAGATGATGGGGTACAGTGCCTGGGGCTCTTGGGTCTCTCTGAGAAAGAATTCAGTACAAGGCAAGTTTATTGAGGAAAGGGAAAAAGGAAGGGGAGATGTTTGCTTAGACACAGGTGGGCAGTCTTAAAAGACAAGAACTGCATTTTGCCAAAGCAAGGGTTGCTCATGTGTGGTGTCCTTTGAAATTATTGTGGACATTATTGCCTTGAGATTAGGTTGGGTTGGGCTTGTGTGACTGATAATCCTCTCTGCCCCCACCTCTGGCTGATAATCTTTTCTGACCCCTCCTCAGATTCCTGGGAATTTCCAAAGCTGCATTTAGTTTAAGATCTAATCATCTCTACCTCCACCTCTGGTGTTTGTGCCTGTGAGAGCTTCCATCCTAAATTTTTCTAATCTGAGTTTTCATCAGTAGAGACGCAAAATCCAACAGTGGGGGCCAGGGAGGTTGGTCATTTTAAATTGTGTCCCAGCTCATCATTTTGAAGGGTAAATTTTGTAATTCAAATTTACAAAAATTTAAATTACACAGAGCGGTCACCTGTGTTGCCACCTAGCTGATTTGCACAAGTCTGTAATGTGCAAATCACACAAGTATGTGAAGTAACAAAAAGAAAACTTCTCAGTGTTCACTCTTAAGACAAAAAGCTGCATTTCAGCTGTTACTTGAGGTCTTTCTCATTAGCACTTGGAATAACTCTGAACATAATGCTACTAAAGACTTGCAAAGTTCTGTTTTAAATGTGAGCTAGCCTTATCTTCTGGACCCTAGAAATTCTAAAAATATATTTCTGGAACTTTGTGAAGAGGTGATAAGCCTTACAATAAAAGGTCTTGATGACAGTTATCAATAATATCTATGGAAGCACTGAGCGAGATCAGCAGGTAGCGGGCTGGGCTGCACAAGGTGGATGGCTTTTTATGAGGACACCAGGGTGAGGAGACTGTTCTCTGTTTCAGTTGAGCCTGTACAGGCTCAGTACAATAACTGATTCCCATTTTCTCCCCCTCTAATCCTTGTCTAATCCTTCACATAAGAAGGGCTCTGGGCTTTTAGGAACCTGATCACATGTGTTTTTCAAAGCCGTTGCAAAAATAAATGCTGCTTTCGAAAAAGCACATCCTAAGTGTTTTGGACCAAATGTAATTTGTTGCCAGAAAAATTATAAAATAAACACGATATGAAACAATTCAGGGATAGCAGCCAAAGTATGTGAAGTAACAAAAAGAAAACTTCTAGATTATAAGAACAAACTTGGGAGTTAAATAGCCATTTAACTGATTTGACTGAAATTGTGTGTGTGTGTGTGTGTGTCACTCCAGGGAAGAAATAGATTGACTCTAGTGCTAACCATCACCTTGAGCAAGAACTCAGATGTAGATAGCCTTCCTTGTCCTCATTTGTGGGTGTGACATAGCCAGTGGAGTCTGTTCACAAAATGAAGAGGCTAGTGTATGACCCCTGACCCTTTGAAAAGCTTTTAAATCTCACAGTAGTCCCTAGCACATTCCCTGAGGGCCTCCCCTGATGGCGCAGGCGGTTGAGCACAGCGCTGTGAAGCTGTCCGCAGCCTCTGCAGCGCCGGTTCAATCCAGGCCAGCATGCGAGGATCCCACATGGCGCGGCAGACCTCTCCTGTCTCACCCGATGCTCCCCTCGGCAGTGTATTTCAGTCAGCTATTCACAGCCACTGCAGCATGTGTTCGATCCCCGACCGGGGAGCTACCCACATGGTGCAGCAAACCTCTAATGTCTCACCCCCTGCTCCCCTCAGCTGCGTATTTCAGGCAATCTCCCTGTTTTGCTCCCCACTCTGTCTCTGGTGGGTCTTCTCACCTCCCGCACCTCTGGCCTGCACCTCAATTCTTGTATGCATAAATAAATAAATCAATAGTTAAATAAATAAATAATTAAATAAAAGTGACCCCAACTGAGTGCGCTCTTCTTCCTTCAGAGGTCAGCTGCTGGATGCTTCTTTCTTTGGAGGGCTGGAAAAGTTTTGCTTTTTCAGAGGGCAGGAACAGAGTATGACTCTTTCTCTGGAGGCCCTGCCTTGTATCCTCTTTCAGGGCCCACCACCCTACTTGCCTAATTGGATCATTTCAGTTAATCCAATCAACATTTTCCCATTCTAAGATCCAGGCACACAGCTCAGGCAAGGAGGGTGTGTATTTTCATTAGATTTGTTAGTTAGGAGCAATCAGAATTCCATGCAGGATCAGCTCTTCAGGAACTAAAGGAGAAATTAGTTCCTGGAATGCTTTTCTTGGAAATTAGAGACACAGTGTTAAAAACAAAATTCATCCGAATGAATTTAGAGATCTAATTGGCTTTATTAAAAGATTCTTCAATGGGGCTAACTGTGGCTGCCTTGGATGACGTCTCTCTAGGTCAGCCCCATTTAAAAAAAAAATGTATTGAGAGAGGCAAGTAGAAGGGCTGGTTTTGGGGGGAGGCTCGTACAAATAGGAAGGTTTTCATAGTCAGAAAGCAGGTGGGCCAAGGTTATTATCAAAAGAAAAAAAAGATTACTTCAGGCAAAGCTACCTTCCCTCAAAGGGAAAGAGGGTCTAATGGTGCTGATTACGTCACCAGTGTAAACAGGAAACCCAGGTCCACTGGTTTAGAATTCCACTTTTGGGACAGGCTGAACTTGCACTTAGGTGAAATATTAAGTCTCGGTGGGTCTTGGCATAATTGAGTCCATCTTGGGCCTGTTTCTTCTTTTCAAAAACAGAGCAAGGGCCTCCCTGGTGGCGCTAGGGGTTAAGCACAGCACTGTGAAGCTATCCACAGCCTCTGCAGCACGAGTTTGATCCCCGGCCAGGGAGCTACCCACATGGTGCAGCAGACCTCTCCTGTCTTGCCCGCTGCTCCCCTCAGCAGTGTATTTTAGTGGATCCACCTGTTCTGTTCCCCACTCTGTCTTTTGTGAATTCTCTCACTCCCTGTACCTCTACTCTGTACCCCAATTCTTATATGCATAAATAAATAAATATTTAAAAAACAAAATAAAAGCAAAACAAGTACTTCACCTAAGGATTAATCTGTCTTTTGGTGTCTTACACTGTGGAGTTTTCCTTTGCATGTGCCAGTTCTGTTATTTTTCTCAGAAGTGTTCTCGAGTCCCCACCAGAGTGTAAATTCCACAATACGGAGAGCCTTGTCTCTCTAGTGCTGGAAACAAGAATGCCTGATTCAGAGGAAGAACTCAATGATTATTTGTCTAGTCGAATGAAAGAATGAATATTACATACTTTGCATGATTATCTCCTCTTTACAGATAAGAGAACTAAAGCTTCAAAGGAAAAACTCATCTAAGATGATCCTGTTGGGGGGGCGGGGAAGGATGTCCTGAGGTAATTCCATGCAGGCTTTGTGGACCCTACCCCGACTCCAGACCAAAGCCATCAAGACATTGGGAAAGACAAATCCTGTCACTACCAAAGGGAAGGTTGCTGGGACCTGAGGGTGGAGTTAAGCAGCCACGTTTGGTATAAAAACCAAATATGTGGGCCTTGGGGTCTCTCTCTCACTCGCGCGCCTCCTGCTTCATGGCTCGTGGTTCGCAGCCAGCTCTCAGAGTGCCATTTGGGATTCCAGATCAGCGGATCAGGTAGGACGCATTTTAAGACTTTATCTCCTACTTTTCTCCCTGAGTTGTACATTTCCTCATTTGTCCTAACCTTGTGAATAAACCTTTTATTAACCTTTCGTGTGTGCCTGCAGTAGAGCATTGATAAGTCCTTTTAAGCGCAGGTGAGGACCCACAGTCAGGCAACCTGTTTTGTATCGGGGCTGCCCTGTAACAATTCCTCAGCACCCCTCATAGCTTGCAATGGAGTTTTGACAGTTTGCCTTTTGTTAAATCTCTAACATTATATTCATGTGTTTAAAGTTAATTACTGGATTATAATAATAAATTGGGTTTGTGAATTGATTGAAGCTTCCAAATTACTTTTTGGTGAAACAGAGCACTCATTTTTCTCAGTATAGTAATTTATTTTTTATTTGTGTGTGTGTGTGTGTGTAGAAGAACTGGGGTGTAGGCCAGAGGTGTGGGGGTGAGAGGATTCACCA